CAAGACCAAAATTACAGAAAAGCAAGAGATTTATTGATAGACAGGAAGAAGGACAGGTAAACTCTCTGAGCAGAGAGGGGTCCTGGCTGTGTAGCCACTCAGGGCAAAAATCAGGTGCTTGTTAATGACATAGTGGGTAAAAAGTGGAGTTTGGCCATTGAATATCTTCCTGTTGTGTCTCTTGTTCATCAGCTGGGTTTGCGGGCAAGACTACAAGATCCACTTACTTTGCAGGGTTCTCCTGATCTACCAAGATCTACTGAGTTTGCCTGCTTTACCTGCAATACTGTTCTGAAAGGAGCTTTGATCTGTTGCTATAGCATTGTGTTACTGTGATGGTGTTCGAGACATTCTGCTCTTTACTGGGTTGGAGAGCATCCTCCTGGCTTCTGGCCCACAATTGTTTTCTAATCAAGGTGATAAATGGACCTAGGATACTATTGCTTGGTGGAAGGGATTCCACCAAGCAACTGATTCTCAATCAGGCTGATAAGTGGACTCAGGCACTCTATTCCTATGGCATTCCCTAGTTTCTTCCTTCAACATTAATTATGTAATTCATGTTAGAATTGAATGTTTATGATTTTCACTTAAAGGCATAGGAGAAAGGGTAGGAATATAAGATTTCAGTTGTTTTTTTTTTTTTTTTTACATCAAAGACATCATATTTTAAAGATAAAAATATAATGACTGGCCCTCCCTGGTGGTGCAGCGGGTTAAAGCACAGCACTAAGAAGCTAAAGCCATTTCCACATGAGTTCGATTCCCGCCTGCCCCGGAGGTGACCACATGGCGCGGCAGACCTCTCCTGACCGCCCGCTGCTACTCTCAGCAGTGTACTTCGTAGATCTGCCTGTTCTGCTCCCCACTCTGTCTCTGGTGAAGCCTCTCGCCACCCCTGAGCCTCTGGCCTGTACCCCAGTTCTGTATGTACAAATAAATAAATCTTTAAAAAAAAAAATATATATATAATGACTTTCCATTGTCTGGGTAACCTAAGATGAACCCCAAAACAATGTGTCTCTCTTAGGGCCCCACTGTAGTCCTTTTTGTCTTCTGTATCTTGATTTTTCTTTCCTCCAAACCCAGAGGTGTTTACTATGATTCATAAGAATTGGCACTCTCCTGCACATTTGTAAACTGGATGTGCATAATTTGCTGACATGGAGCAGCCCTAATATTTTGCCTACTAGAATACATTTTATTGCATATAGTGTTGCTTCTAAGCATTTGAGCACCTTCCCTTCCTTATATTGTTTTCTATTTTAGCTTTTAAAAAATGTTCAATTTAATAACTTAACACACAAGATCTACCTAGCATATGAATTATTCCTTAGGAGTTATTTTAAGGAAGTACACTGATCTGTCAAAAACTTTCTCAATTTTATAATATTCATTTGTACTTGATTGAAAAGAACCCAGATCCTTAAAAAAAAATCTTATGCAAAATGCAACTCTGTTGCTTGGGGAAGGGAAGAGGATGAGCTAGTCAATTTATATGAGGCAGCAAATATTCCTGAGAGATAAGAAAATATTTCTGATTTTGTGAATTGTCTTTGTCACAAGGGACAAAGACAAATTGTCTTTGTCCAGGACAGTATTTGTGTCAACCAAGACAAAGTCATATGCCTTATCTCACATGCCTTATCTCACTAAAAAAGTTTAAAAGGGAAGATAAAATATAGATAAAATCTATTTCAAAGTAAAGTTCATAAACATACTAAGTGTCTCAGCCAACTGCCTAGTGTCATCAGGCAGTAAGTTACAGAGAACAACATGACCCAGAATAAGCAATGAAACAGCTAATTGTCCAAAGTAGTGGCTCCATTCCCTATGTTGTAATACTTCAACACTCATGTGTGGTGATTCAGTCAGATAGTATGTGTCTTATAAGGTTCATTTAGCAGTGAAATTTCAAAGGTGTATTTCTAATTTATCCACCATATCCTCTAACATTTTTTTAGATAGTTATAGGCAAGGAACAAAATTGGTGTTCTCTACATAAAAGTTATGTTTGCATGGGTTAATAATGTTTTCAGAGCTTATGTATATAAGGACTTTCCACTAAATATGGTTCACTATCTCATTTTATCCTAATCTTAATCACGTAAGTTATCTATGAATATCCTCTCCAACAAAAGGAACATGATAATGGTTTTGTCAAACATCATGCTTATAGATGCTACTTACACCTCAGTTTTTCTGTAATTAAGGAATTATAAGTTTTACAGAAGTAATACTTGAGTCTTGGTGCAAGTACTTATTACATTTTTATATTTGGCAAATAAGATAATCTTACAGACATTTTATTCCTAACTAAAGGACCACCTTCCACTTTAGCAGGTATTATAAAAAAGTAAAAGAATTAAGCATTCTAAGTGATATACTTCTTTTATAATTTAAAACATTTAAAATATATGCATGTGAAAACTGGGGTATAGGCCAGAGGTGTGAGGTGAGAGATTTACCAGAAATGGAATGGAGAGTAGGACAGGCAAAAACACACTGCTGAGGGGAGCAGTAGACAAGACTTAATATGTTAGCTCCCTGGCTGGGTTCAGAGCTTATGTATATAAGGACTTATGTATATAAGGCTATAATAGCTTTGGATAGCCTGATAGCACTGAGACTTAACTTCTGCAACACCAAAGAGGCCCATAAATGAAACTATTAATAAATAATAGCTTTATTAAATCCTGTACATAAAGTGTTGGGCACACTTTATGTCCTTAATAAAAAAATCCATTAAAATTAGTCATTTAAGAAATAAGTCTATATAATTTGTGAAAATGTCTAAATAAGAATAGGAACATTTTACATATGGTTTCACTAAAATGACACCATATATCTTTCTCTGAGTGAAAAAGAAATCATTTATATTGTTGATCATCAAGCTTAGAGGATAATAACAATTAGGTTGAGATGATACTGTTTTTAGGCATAAAATAGATAAGCATAAATAGCTTAAATAGCATAAATAGATGAGCTTTTTAATAACTGATCACTCTTGAGCAGCTAATGATTAAAATTATATTCATCATCAAACAATAGTTAATTTGATAGTAAAAGTATTCTACTACTGAAACACACAGCTGTTCTTCAGACTTCTTTTCAAATGGATAGTGAACATTGCAAGAGATAATATATTGTCTTATTTGTAATGCATTATCTAGTTAGCCTGTAAAAAGTAACCTAATCAAGCCCATTCAAAGCTTGTATGCACAAATAAGGTCATTAGAAAAACTAACTAAAAACTAGGAAATAGTCCTCAGAATATGTCAAGCTAGATAAGATTGAGTGATGATGATAATAAGGACAGGCCTTGTGTCGATGGCTTTAAAGAAACCAGAAAGGGACTCAATGGAAATTGGGCTCTGAGCCCATGAAAAATTAGGCAGGAAGCCTAAAGGAAATTTAATGTTCTCTGCTTCTTCTTTCTGCTTTCTATTTAATTTGGTTTTGGACGAAATCTCTATTTATAAGACAATTTTAAGTTTATCTGAAGCAGGTGAGTGATGGTTTTATTTCAAGAGAAATAGAAGAGAAAAAAGGTATAGGAAAAAAAGAGGAAAGTCTTGGTATATGTCAGAAGCTGTGAAAATCCTTGTATGTAGAATTTAATCCTCTGTAATGTAATGGATTTATAACCTTTGCTTGGGTAATTGGCTATTTGATTGTCTTTGTTTTGTAGTTTAGCTAATATGCCCTTCATTGTAATAGAGTTGTAATAATCTGAAAAGCTAACTATAATGGTTTGATTTACTTGACATTTCCACTGAACCAGTTACCATATACTTATAAAGTATATTTAAAAGTTTATTTTTAAGTCTGTGACTATAAAGAACAGGACAATAATGTAGAAATTAAACTAGAAAAATATTGTTGGTGAAAAAGAAATAACATATATGCATCAGGTGAAATTCTTTGTTAAATGTATGTCATAGCTGAAATAAGCAAAATGTCAGAAAATATCAGGCATGCATGGGTGGAACTTTAAAATTTAATATACACAGAGAAATTTAGACTTGATCATCATTCACATCACTTCAATTTTTCAATAAATGTAAGTATTAGTATTATTTGTGATTTTATTTAATGTAAACTTACTCAGGCTTTAAATAAAAGAACATTACAATCACCACATCAATTCTAGACAACAAAGTCTACAACGACTACAAGAGTCTTAAAATATTTGGCAGAAATATCTCAATCAACAATAAATGAAATTTATGAACAGAGGACAAAATTAATTCCCTTCTACTCCAGGACTAGGGTTGCCATTTTTTGAGTGGAAGAAATCCCACAAAAGAGTAAGAGAATCAAAGTTAGCAAAGAAGGAACAATTAATAAATTGAATGATAAATTGATGCTACAGGACTGTTTATTATATTTTGATGAGTTGATTAACTAAGATCTAATTAATGCAATTAATAGGCACATTAATATTACTATTAAGTATAATAAAAAAGTTAAAATGGAGATAAAATTATCATTACCAGACTTCTAAATTCTAAGGCTAGGTTTATTACTTAAAATCTCTATCATTTTGCACAAATGTTTTCATGGTGTGACAATTTAAAGGTTGGAATTATTTTATCTATAAGTGATAGCAACATATATATTAATTGAATCTCATAGACTCAAAATTAAAATACTTAGAAAAATATAAAATACCGTGAATATTAAGAACATTAATGACTGTTAAAGGGATGCATTCTTTTCAAATTAGCACATTTTAACTAAGCCTTAAACCTAAATCTATTCTAGATAACAATTATAATAGAAAACAGACTTATTTGGTAGCCTCCCTATTTACTAATTTATATTAAAATGAATACATTTTAAGCCTTTCAATGTAGCCAATGTTGCTAAACACATTTTACAAAGGTGGAAACTAAGGGACAGATGGCTAAATGCACAAAAAAAGAGAACTGTTTTTGGATCCAAATCATTTATTTTATTTTTTAATGGCATAGTAGAGCAAGAAAGCCTCAATGAAGTTATTTCATGAGGAAACAAATGGCAGCCATGTGTTTAGAGCTCAACTGCTTACAGATGAGTTCATTTTGTTTCCACTCCAGATGCCATGACATCAGATACCTATGGACAATATCCCAAGCATCCAGCTCTGTTTCTCTAGAGCAACTTTCATACATACATTGCCAAGGCAATAGTTCCAAATAGGCAGTCTGTGATTTCACTACTAACGAAATTACTTTGACAAGGAACAGTCACTAGGAAAAAAAAAAAAATTGAAACACAGTGCTGAGACTCAAACACACACTGTGACGTGCCTTCTTGGCCAAGCCCTTGCTAGCAGAGGTCTTTCTCCATTGGGGTTATCAGTGTTTTAAGAGAGCTGTTCTTTGGTACCAGCAGTTAGTAGGCGCACACTTATCAAATTGTTGGAATAACACAGATTTTTCATTGTGAATGGAATGGCTGGTATTTAACTGGCTACTTAACTGAATTCCTAAGGGGGAAAAAAAAATCAAGATTCTAAGCAAACACTGATTCCTATCATATGCTTTCTCTTTTTCCTTATACCACATGCCCTTGAACTCAGCCTTGTATTTTTATGAATGTAAATCATAAATCTTATGAAATATCAAATAGAAATACACCTGTGCCTTTATGACCCTGGGCTTCAATCGTAGTTATTCAATACCAGTGAAAGTTCTCCTAACAGATAAGAAAACATAGTGGCCATTATGCTTTTTTTCCGTTGTCTTACAGGCTTGGGACTATTAGTGTTATTTATAAGACAGACTTTGTGTTTCATTTAAGTCATGTGGAAAGTTGCAGTACATCTGTGAGTTACTTTGGCAATATCATGGTTTGATCTTGTAGTGGAGACAACAGAGACAAAATGTGCTTTGGGTTATATGACTCCTGACTGCTGCTTAAACTGTTCTTTAGGAAAACACAGTCATTAGAATGTTGCAGGTTAATACCATGTTCAGAATTTCAGCAGTTTGGTTCATCTTTTACTTGTGATAGGAACCTCAGAAAGGAGGAGGGCAGGAAAGCAAAGCAGAGACATTAAGGATCATGTTAAATTTTCAAGCATAAGGTCATTAAGTAACCTACCTTCTGAGTAGCCAAAGTTGAAGTAAACAAGGAGTTTTGTTAAAGGCAAGAGAATTGGGGCTCTCCCTGGTGGTGCAGCGGGTTAAAGCCTAGCACTAGAAAGCTTAAGCTACTTTCGCATGAGTTCAATCCCCACCTGCCCCGGAGGTGACCACATGGCGTGGCAGACCTCTCCTGACCCGCCCGCTGCTCCCCTCAGCAGTGTACTTCCTCTATCTGCCTGTTCTGCTTCCCACTCTGTCCCTGGTGAATACTCTCACCCTCTGCATCTCTGGCCTGTACCCTAGTTCTGTATGAATAAATAAATAAATCTTTAAAAAAATAAAAAAGGCAAGAGAATTGTCTTTACAACTGCCTTACCTTTTAAAATTTATTAATTGAACATTTCAGCTTATGACTTAATACTTTTATTTTTCATAAGTATTTACATTATTTTTCGACTCTGTCTTCTTTTGTGTTAAGAGTTGCTGTTCACGAATTTTTATTCATCCCCAAATGTATAGAAATAGTGAATGTTATGCGGGTGGAAAGGGGAATGGAATCAGAACTGGGTTGGGCAGAGTGTACTGGACTGTGGTGATGGCACACAGGTGAATTGGTGGTGGGAAGCCCATGGGGATTACAACTGAGATGAAATAAATGCACAAAATTAAGAAGGATGTAAAAAAAATTTAATTTAATTTAATTAAAAATATAACAATAACTAAAAAAAAAAGAAATAGTGAATGTAAGAGATACCATGAGAGATTAGGAGAAAAGGGAGAATTAAAATGCAAGGAGAAAAAGAGTGAGAGGAAGAAAAAGACCAAGAGAAAAATGGGAAGATATCAGTTCTCCAGCACTTCCCTGACAACTCCCTCTTAGCACAGCGAAATCACAGTTATTTACACACTTCTGTAGTTAGTAGGAATGCCATAATAAGGTACCATAGTCTGCACAATATTTTCCCCTCAATTCTTGGTACTAGAAGCCCAAGGTCATCATGTTAACAGTATGGATTTCTTCAGAGGCCTCTTTGAACATGACTTATAGTGGATCTTCCTCTGCTGTTCCACAAAGGCTTTCTCTGTGTGTACTGGTATCCTAATCTCTTTCCGTATAAGAACAGAGTTATATTGGATGAAGGACCATCTATGTGACCTCATACTGCCTTAATTGTCACCTTAAAAACCTTATCTCCATGCAGTATTGAGCTTTAGTCCTTTAACATAGGAATTTTCATGTGACATTCAAATTTCTGAAATGTATTTTTGATCAAATTGAAATACAAAAACTGTGGAACAGTTCATTCCAGCCAAATAAACTTGGGAGAGATTAATGGTAAAGGGAATATATTCTTATGTTGTGATTCATATCATCATATGGTGACATGTTTGTTTTTTTGGGCTTTGGGCAATTTTAGTCAATATTTAATATGTGGGATATACTAATGTCATATGTATGACTAGGATTAATTTTTACAGAGAAAATAAGTATAATATCCTTATGCAGGAAATACTAAAACATGCCAAGCCATCTACCGTAACATTTAATTTGAAATAATATTCTGTTTTAAAGATTGTTTTAGTTATAAGCATGTACAGTTTCCCAGAATTATTTCCAAATGTATTTGTGCTATTGTGTTTATCTATAGTTATACCTTTATTACCACTCTTGAGTAAGAACTTGAAATGTTAAGAGTAAAGTCAATTTAGTTTAAAAAGAAAAGATTGTCTTTTTAATATCATGATAGTAGAGTATCTTTCCTGACTGTGGTGTGATTGATCTTGAAAATAGTTTCCAACTTTTATTTTGTTGTTGTTGAGCTTAAAAAATCTAAATTCCTGTAGAACAAAGTACAAGTCACATTGAAAGAGTAAAGTTATATTTGCAGATTGCAACACACCCATGGTGGAGGAAGACAGTAGCCCATGATACTATAAAGGGAGGGGGAAGCAGAGATTATTATCATTGATCACTAAGCATTCACTGCAGAGAGATAGAAAACCACAGAAACATAAATGAGGGAAAGTACAATAAAGAGAACATAAAAGACAGACTTTGTAGAGAGGACCTCAGTGACAAATTTGTATCTTTGATAATAATAATAAAAGTGCCTTCTCGTGAAACTGAGCACAAATAGCTAATACCAAGAATATAGAAATAATACTTTAGATCACATAGACTGTACAAAGATTTTCAAAAGTTTTTATAAAGACATTTCCATCACTAAATTGGAATATCTGTGGGGAAAAGTTCTAGACAAGCACATCCTATTAATAAATTGATGTACAAATAAATAATTTCCAGCCTTCTGGTGGTGCAGCAGTTTACTGCTCAGCACCGTGAAACTGGCCACAGCCGCTTCAGTGGGAGTTCGATCCCCGCCCCGGAGGTGATACACATGGCGCCGCAGACCCTTCCTGACCTGCCCGCTGCTCCCTTCAGCAGTGTATTTTGTCCATCTGCCTTTTCTGCCCCGCACTGTCTCTGGTGAATCCTCTCACCACCTCTGCACCTCTGGCCCGTTCCCCATTTCTGTACACATAAACAAATACATCTTTTAAAAAAGTAATTTTCTTGACTCTGTAAATTCAATATAATTGAATTTATAAATATCTGTAATACCATAAAACTGTGGCTCAGAAAAGTTTGTCAAGAAGTTTTACTAATCAGGTAAGGAAAAAGTAATGTCATACTTGTAAAAACTCGCCATTGAATATGATGTTAGCTATTGGTTTGTCATATATAGCCTTTATTATTTTAGTCTATGTTCCTTCTAGCCTTGTATTTTGAGAGTTTTTATAACAAATGGGTTTTGAATACATGTGAAATATTTTCTCATTATATATTGGCATGATCATATTTTTATCTTTCTTTTGTTGATCTGGTGATACATTGACTTGTGTGTATTTGTTGAGCCATACTTGCATCCCTGGAGAAAGTCCCATTCTGTCATGATTTATGATCTTTTTAATGTATTGTGGAATTCAGTTGCTAATATTTTATTAAGGATTTGTACATACATGTTCATCAGAGATATTGATCAGAAGGTCAGAATATTCATTTCTTTTTTTTTTTTTAACATCCCTGTCAACTTTTGGTATCAGAGTAATTTTGACCTTATAAATGTGTTTGGAAACAGTTCCTCCACCTTCAGTTTTTTAAAAAGAGTTTGAAAAAAGATAAGTTCACCTTTGAAGTTTTGATAAAACACACTAATAAAACCATCTGTTTGTGGAGTTTTGTTTTATGGGAATCTTGATTAGTGTTTCAGTTTCCTTGTTTGTAATAGATCTGTTTTGGTTTTCTGTGTCTTCCCAATTCAGTCTGAGAAGTGTATGTTTCTAAAAATGAGTCAGTTTCTTTGGTTTATGCAATTGATTGGCAAAATGATGTTCATAGCATTTCTTATAATTACTATATTTCTGAAATGTCAGCCCTAATTTTCCTCTTTCATTGGTGTTCAATTAGTGAGCCGAGCTAGAGTTTTGTTTATTTTGCTTATCTTTTCAAAGAATCAATTTTTGGATTCATTAATATTTTTATTTCTGCTCTACGTTTTGTTACTTTTTTCCATCTTCTGGAATTTGGTTTCATTTGGTCCTTTTGTGTGTGTGTGTGTGCCTTAAATTATAAGATTGGATTATTTATTTGAGCTCTTTCTTGTTTCTTGGAACATGTATGTATTTATATAAAATATATATAAACATATATGTGTTTACAAAATATATAACTCTGTATTTTCCTACTTTTGTTGCATCCCATAAGTTCTGGTACTTCTGTCTTCTTTTTTTGTTTGTTTCCAGTTATTTCTTAATTTCTACTGTGCTTCCTTTGTTATTCCAATAGTTACTGAATATCTTGTTACCTAATAGTCTCATATTTTATCTTTTATGTAGAATTCAGAAATCATCTTTACCTTTTTTTAGTTTTTCTAAGGTTACTCTGTGGTGTGTGTGT